TAGATAAGCATCTTTTGCGAGGTTTAGGATTCTCTGTCTCTCGAGCATACGTAAGTTGCACTTGCCTTCTTGTGAAGCCAAGTTCGTCGGATATATATTGTAATGTCAAGCCAAGTCTTCATCATGTTCTTATTTCAATACATTGATCGCGAGTTGGATGCTTGCGAACTATAGTTTCTGTAGCAAACTTTGGAAGAGGGATTGTTTGCTAGAATAGAGGATGAATTGATAGTTGTGTTGAGATTTAAGGACTGTGTCGGTTAGGGAGCCAAAAATGTAGTTGAAAATGTGTTATTCTTACCGAATGCTAGAAGAAGACGATTGGACCATACTTCATGGTGAGCGGGGTAAGGAGGAGAGACATACTAACCTATTACGAGCTAGCTCAGCTGCACCTACAGGGCTAATCCCTTTAACAACCTAATTTGAAGTTTTACCTTTTCCACCCCAGAGGCACTGTAGTACGTAGTTGTCACCATGTCCCCTTAGGGATGGGGTTTTAGTTGTAACTAGTGCCCGGTAGACATAAAAATAAATAAATTAATAGATGGGTCTAGGTGCGAAGCCTCAAGTGCAGTAAGTACTAGCGCCCATCCCTCCTGCTAGTTTAGTAGGGAGCGGGGCCCCGAGCCTCGGCTCGGCTCCCGCCAGACGTTTAAAAAAGGAACAATTCTAGAAATTATTAAGGAAATAATGACCCCTCAGTCATTGAGGTTGTAGAGCGCATTGATTCAAGTAACTTGAGAGCAAGACTGAATACCTGTACGCGGTGTCCTCTACGAACCTGGAAGTGAAATATTCTCCCAGAACCAAGCTCAGTCAAATTTCGCAATATCAAAGAAGTTGGCCCACGAGGCAAGAATTTAAATTACTCCGCCATGTCAATCTTTCACTCCCAAAGAGTCCCGTTCTCAACTAAGCTTCATCAAGTCTACAAGTACGACCTAGTACATCCTCTTTCCAATGATCACACCTCTCGTCGACTTTCTATGGCCTCAGCCGGTCACCAAATACACGCCCACGCTGATTTTTATACCCGACGGAGGAAACAAAGCGTGGCGCACAAATCTGGGAGACAGTTCTTTGGGATGGACGTGAGAGGGATCTGGACAAGTTTACAAGATGATGCAGAAGAGGGATACGTTTTCGACGGGCGTGAAATTTCGAATTTTGGCATGGAGTTTAACGGATTGAGCCTTGTGCGCGCCAAGGCTTCGCTTGCGACAGTGCAGCTGACACTACAAACACTAGTCAACGATGGAAGGTATTGTGGTCCGCCTCCTGGTGGTGTTCTCTGGTATGGTTTGAGTGGCCTGGGCACCTACTCCACTTGGGCAGGAGACACCTCAGATCACATATCGTGCGGAGAAAAGTTGAAAGGTGATGCAGGCATGCCTGGATAACTCAGGGTTTTTGAGACGTTCCCCTGGGTGGGTATTCACGGATGAGGGTTGACTTGGGGTGAAGAAAAAGCCGCCATAACTTCGCAGTGGTACTTGCAAATGAAATCCGAGGCATGAGTGCTCTTCCTGTACGTTGAATCATCTATTCTGTACTTTTCTTTGATATTGTGTCATAGCTAGATAGCTGCATACGCAATTAAAATCTGATGCAAAAAAAAAAAGAAAAGCGCATTCCTGACAGAAAGACCCCTTCCCGGGTTCCCAGGTTCCAAGCAAAAATTTCTTTGGGTCCCATGAAGATATTAGAGCTTGAGGGAGTCTGTGGGTGTTTAGGTGGCACTCTAGGAAGTGCAATGAGGCTTTGAGCTGTCCGCAGCCACAATGAAAGTTAGTGCCTTCGTGATTGAAACGGCGGTGGTACTCTGCTAAGTCACCATGTCCTGAGCGGGCAGCGTGTAGTCTAGAGAGAAATGGCCTGACTAGTGAGAGTTCCTTGGGGTGACAAGAGTATGAGTTGATGGCAAGCTCCCTATAGGAAACTGGGGCATGTTGGTCCCAGAAATCTTTCATAGCCGTCGATACTTTTACTTTGGTGCAGTTTTTCACAGTATCAAAAGAAACGTACCCACGGGGTATAGGCGGGGGTTTTGAAAGCCCCTCCCGGGTAGAGGCTTCGTATTAGGCAAAGATTAATATGAATCTCTCTCAGAGTTGATTGAATTGATTGTCCTCTCCCATGAGGAATCTATCTAGGTACTATATACATCTTGAGTATACTATTAATTCCAAATATAGACTGACTATTAGATTGCCCATACGAACTACTCTAATCTCCGTTCCATACATGGTTCTAAAATTGGCTGTGACATTATCATGGGAAATTTAAGGAATAAAACAATAAGGGAGTTGTGTGTAGAGATTGGCCATCCGTCTAGTCGCTAGTTGTAACATTTGCATGACTAAGTTATTGCCCTTGATTCATCAGCCCCGTTTACTTGCTTGTAAACTACTCAACTTAAACACCATGATACAATATTTAAATTTAGGGTAATCTGTTTGACACTTCGGCTAAATGATTATCTGTTAGACTCAACGAGTCAATTGAAAAATGTATGAAGTAAAAGTAAAAAGTGTCAATTAATTCCTGGCTGCCATTTCTCTTACTGATACTATCTAGATTATGTACTTCTAGAAAATGGTAAATGCTCTATGTGTCCCCAACTTGTCCCCATAGACCAAGTTTCTCATGGTTTGGAACGAAACTGTAAAGGGTTTAAAGAGTTCAGAAGTACTTGAAAGACCTTAAGTCAATAGGAATTGATAATTTTTCCTTAGGAAGCTAATCTGCGTACGACGGCTCCTGTCCTTTATGTCCTCCTCAGCGTCGCGTTTAAGCTCCCCTCCTAGCCTACCTGAGAATACTCCATTCTCCCCGGCTACCCTCTTTCCTGTGACATCCTCCCCCCCTTAGTACGTACTCCCTTGGGTCCTTCCTCATGCGCAACCTTGCATTAATCCTTATGCGACACTTAGATCCCTCTTTGTGCGTATCCTTGCATTCTTCCCCATGCAACCTTTCGCGTCTCTGTAAGCGCTGCTTCGTTGGCGCTTAAAGATCTAGCCGGGTTGGTCCTAGTGACCAGTCCCAATCCGGGCACAGCCCGTAACAGAAACATCTCTAGTCAGAACAGATAGAGATCTTATTGCTACAGCCCAAGTGAAACACCTTTTTCCGAAACAAGTAACTCCAAGCTTTGTAAACCTAACTCCTTAAACTTTATATCTGACATTAATCGCCTTCAAACTATCCACAGTTTGATATTATCCAATATGTCAGAGTGGCTTAGGATCCATTAAGCCTGGACCTTCCCGGGAGGGATGTGTAGAAGCCTGGTGCGAAGAGGCCAGTCTCGGAAGAGCCTGTATTTGTTGATAGAACACTTACGACGAGCAAATTGAGGACTAAAATAAAAGGCGAGCTACCTCTAGGTTATCTGTGAGTATCCAAATATTTTCTGAGAAGCGCGCTATTGGTAGGGAAAGCGCAGCTTTGAGGGCTTCTTTTACGGCGGCCATTTTTGTGTCGAAATGTGACAGCGTCGAGTCAAGAGACAGACTCTCGCAGTATACCATCTGGCCAGCTTGAAATATAACGATTCCACCGCCTGTCCTGGGCGATTTTGCTATCTCGAATCTAGCGCCATCTATATAGACAGCTAGATCTCTAAAGGGGATGCCAGAATGGATATTGATGGGAGGGTGCGTAACTCGCCTTACACTATTATACCGTGTATCCCTTTTGAGCTATGGCGGCTGAATCAGAAGGTCGATCGTTTCAACATTCGGACTTTAGAGAACCCAGCCCGCAAGAAGGGAGGCTCGTTGATTGTGTGCCTGGATCCATATGGCTCTTTGCCGGAGTGGGTGTCTAGGGTCCAGGTGTTGGATGCCCAGTGCCGCGAATTTTGATTTAGAGTCAAGCTCTAAATCAGGAGGGAGGAGACCTGATTCACGGTACAGAATAGGGATTGGCGTAGTCCGATATACAGGTAGGATAGCTCTAGCCCCCGTTAGAATAACTTTGCGGAGGATTGATAGGTATCCTTCGACTCGATTCGAGATCAGTCTATTGCTGTATCTGGTGCGGCCAGGCTACCAAGTCTCTGCGCCATAGTAGACGATGGGAAGTGTGCAAGCTAAGATAGCTTGACATGTAAGTTGGAGGGGGCGCTCCTCGAACGGGGTTGCTGAGAGAACAGAGTGCGTTGGCAACTTTGAGAGCCTTCTTAGCTAGGATGCTGACATGCCATTTAAATGAGAGAGTCCGATCAACTTGGACCTCTAGCCAGCGCGTGTATGGTTTATTGGGATCTTCCGAGATCCTTATATCTCTGTGGGAGATAGAAGGGGCTGACAGAGGGTCGTGGTCAGCCTGTTTTCGGGAAAAGTGTTGTAGCTCCGATTTTGCTAGGTTGAGGGTAATGCCTCCCATTCCCCCAGTGTATTGCTTCCGCTAGCGAGTGAAAGAGCTGTGCAATTACTCGGGAGGTTAGACTCTGTCTCAAGGAGAGCTACATCATCTGCATAGCCGAATCTTTTCCTCTTCATTCCCATCTTCAAGAACGGGAAAATGTAGAGCATGAATAGGATGGGCGGGGCCAGTGAGACTTGTGGAAGACCGCGATCCATATGCTGTGGAAGGCCTGTTACTCCATCGAGACAGATGCACACCGTACGGCGTGAGGCAAAGGATCCCACCCAGCGCACCAGGTTTTCAGGTCAACCTTGCTCTCGTAGACGGCGGAAAAATCGTCCCGGGTATACGGCGTCGAAGGCTCCCTTGAAATTTAAGGTGAGCATACTGGCTGTAGAGCCCTCATGAAGTGCCTTTTCTGCATCTTGGGCAAGGCAGGTAGCTTTATCAACAGCCTATCTACCTGTTAGAGCGCCGAATTGTTGAGTCGATACCACTTTATGCCCGATGGTAGTCCAAGCCGTTCTTTTTGCAATAAGTCTCTCTAATCCTTTGCCTAGTACATAAAGTAGTGTAATTGAACGGTAAGATCGGGGCGAAGAGAAGTCTATCTTGTTCGGCTTTTAAAACACCACCAGAATGGCATTCCAGAAGCACTCAGGATGGTTCCCAGTAGAGAGGCTCGCATTAAATAGAGACAGTACTTGTTGTTCAATCAAAGGCCACACGTGCCGAATAATGGCCATGGGTATTCCGTTTGCACCAGGAGCGGCGTTGCCGGCACGTAGGATGGAGTCTCGGATTTCCTCGGCGGTATGGGATGAGAAGAGAAGTGAGGTTGAAGAAATCTTTGGAGAATCCATTGAGATGTCACCAACTGCTAAGGGGTTTGCGAGTAGATTTGACTTAAGAGCCTCCCTTTTTCTGGCAAGACTCTGGACTGGAGGTTGTTTTGGGAAGCGGGCGTCTTTAACAAGGCGTGAACGATAAGTTCCCACAGATTTATGCCACTTGTTTGCTCCAAATATCTCCTTAGCTGTGCGGACCTTCTCCAATTTTGCCTTGAAAAAATTGTCTTTTGCTATTTGTACTGTTTCCTAAAGGCCTTTCGGGCGTCACAAACATCACTTTTAGCGGACAGAGACCGAAGAGCTAGCTTGTAGCCCTTCCTAACCTCAATGAATCTTTCCACAAGGGATTGCCATTTCTAGCAAAAAGAGTGCACTTTGCAGCACCACAATATGCGTCGTGTATAATTTGCACGATAAACTCCGCTTAATTATCTAGATCTTCACTTGAAGGGGAGACGGGAATAAGGTCTAGACCTCCATATCCGAGTTCCAAGAGTTGCCTGAATAGGGTTAGATCCAATGTGTCGGGCCAGAGCCACCCTTAGGGGACCGGAGGGTTGGGCCAGCCTACAGTTGCGAATAGTGGCAAATGGTCAGTTGTGGCTGCAACGTGTCTAGAAATGCAGGAGGAAACGTTGTTTACTGTAAGACTCGTGCCAAATGCCAAGTCTAGAACGTTGCCTCGGTTATGGGTAGCTTTATCAGGTGGGGATAGGAGTATGAAGGGAACTAAATCCAGCCACTCCACAAACTACACGGCCCCAAAAGAGAGGCCACGTTCTATTGAGAGCTGACACCTGGAGTGATGTAGATTAAAGTTGCCTAGAATTAAGTTGTTTTCCGAGAGGAGACGTCACAGTAGCCATGAGAGCATTAGTCCCGTTACCTACGCTTATCAAACCTGGAGGCGCGTTGCATACGTTGAGTAGTGTCAGCGACTGCCCATTTGTCTGGGATATGCGGATGAATAATATATCAGAGGAGATGTTTGCATAGACTTGTTTGGAAATAATTCTTACCCCTTACGTACGTAGGAGATTACTATAGGGCGAACAGCTGTTCAATTATCGATCGGAGAGAAAGATTCGAATGAGAGGTGGCGAGAAGTCATGCATCGGTAGAGATCTCTGGAGATATAGGGTTCCTGGATTGGTACGACGTTAATCTGTTCTGTGTAGGCCTGGGCTAGTGCAATATAATGTGCTGTGCGACTTCTGCCGTTTTTTAGGAAGAGAATATTCAAAGGCTTTGAGCATCTTCCGCGACTAGTTTTGCAACTCATTACAGCTGCATTTGGTCCTCGTTCAGGTCTCTCTCGTCTGCGAGAATTTCAAAGGGATTATTCAATCGTCGGCGTTTTGCTGCACTCGAGGATGAGAGGATGGATAAGTGATCTGCTGAGGAGGCTTGAGCTAATGATAGAGTAGAGTAGAGCTGCTGTTGTTGTTGTTGTTGGATGATGCCGATGAGATATCTTTTGCAGGCGCTTTGACGCAGCTAGCTTCTGCTTGGGAGCGAAGTCAGGCATCAGCGCAAATTTTCCTTGTAACGCTCATCTGAGACTTGAATTTGGGAGCTGAAGATTGATTTGGGCGGAGTGTACAGTTTAAGGAGTCCGCAGGGTGGGGCCTGTGGTAATGAATGCAGCGCGGTGGGTAGACATGGTCTCCGGTGGCCGCAAATAGGCAGCCATGATTCTCTTTGGTGTGTCTAGTAGAGTCACAGAGGATACATCGAGGAGCAGCTGCGCAGCTACGGCTGTTGTGCTACAGCCAAAATCTGGTGCATTGAATTGTTGTAATGCAACGAGGTAGTAGGCGTTTATAGGTCCTACAACCGAAAAGATAAGGAGCTCGAGGTAAACGGCTATGCAACTCTGGAAAGCGGGCTATACAAGTCGTAGATGGAAGCAGACGTTTTGATCGTTATCCTGAGAAGACTGAATGGCTACCGGTGCCTCAGAAATAGCTTCGGGGGAGACTACTTGGAGACAGTATTGGAGGTTTTCATTCAAGGTATCGTAATTCCGAGGGACATTCTCGATCCTGTAGGAGGTCCATGGAGATGCATGCTCAATTGGTGCGTTTCCAAAAACGCCTACAGAGTTAACTTTTTCTACCAGATCATCTGTTTTACTTATACTTGGGCAGAGTGCGGAGCCAGCATTTGTCAGCTAAGCATTGGAAAGTAGTTTGTTGTACTCCCCAAGTCTAGTCTTTAGGAGTGTCTGAAATGCATAGCCTCAATGGCTGCGGAGTGCGCTTTCATTTGGAAGGCGCACAAACAATCTATCGTCTGATTTTAGCGCCTTGGGCGTATTAGTTCATTGATTATTCCTACCCGTATAGGCTGGTTGCGATGTGTATGTAGCTGGATAGATACCAGTTCCACGTCTTGCCGCGCTTGAGTAGCTTTTAGGGCCAAATTTGGCTGAGTAGGGAGAGGATGGCTTGGCTTTTTGAGGGGCCACATCCTGAACGTAGGCCTCCAAATGGATACAGCGAGAGCAAGCTCCGCGCTGCAGGCGTGTAGAGCACGGGACTGGTTAACGTGAAGATTCCCTTGCTGTATGCTGCTATAATGATGATCAAGTAGTGAGGCTAGGATGCTGAAAAGGTCATGGCCTTCACTGGCGCAGTTAGCAGCAGTCTGAGCGCTTCTTGAAAGCGACTCTTGGATTCTGCCCATAGGCCTAGGAAAGGCATCATAGTCATTATAATTGACGGTTTAGCAGGAAGTAGAGGGCTGAGCAGCATCAAGGTCGAGCTCCGGCACGTGGTGCACGTTCACCGGGTACCATGCAACAGGCAGGTTGTAGCCGAAGTTGAGGTTTAAATTTCGGAGAATGATGTGACGAGTGAATACGGTATGTGTTAGTATTTTTTTGCATAAGATTTTAATTGTGTATGCAGCTATCTAGCTATGACACAATATCAAAGAAAAGTGTAGAAAAGATGACTCAATTTACAAGAATATGTGTTGGTATATCACGGGTAAGAAATGTGTGTAGAGCACGTAAGCATGGCCGAGGAAAGCTCAGGTCATATCTTCGACGCCGACACGTCTGTTCACGTGATAATGCTTTGCGATGATTATTGACTGAGGCTTCAAACATGACAAATGGCCTATGCGTGATACAGCTACAAACGCGGAGCAACACATCCGAGCATGGACGAAGCATCGGTATCTGTTTCCAATCGCCCTTTGGCCCAGAGCTTGCCGGCCTCCATGCAAACGTACATTTGGCATGCGACGCTACCACTTGCCATCACGCATGCCTCTTCTGTTGTGCCCTACCTGCTTCACGTGCCGCGCCTTTCCTACCTACCACTGGTTCTACCGCGACTCAACCTCTTCTTTGGGCCTGGCATCGTTGGCTCCAGCTTCTCGCATCACGGCCGCGCCCTGCCTAACCTACCTATCGGCCTTCTCTTTGATATATTCGCGCCCCCCTTACCCTGGGCCCTCGAGCTGGGCAATAGCCCGGTATATGAGACTCATGATACATTTATCAATAGCCTCAAAGAAGTAAGTACCTCTGAAATCCTCCCGTCATCGTCGTCACTACTGCTCCCTAACCCGTGGGCCCACGCTGCCCCTCTGTCTAGGCTGACTTTGTGCGCAATGGCACGGCTAGGGGCGTACTGGCCATGTCCAAAGAGGATTCGAAACAGCTCTGGCACGCCATAATAGACAGTAAGCTCCCGCTCTCTATCTCTGCCGTCCTCCCATCCGCTGACTGTTAATTCAGACGATTTCGGTGCCTTCTGGCAGATCAATCGAACTCTGCTCAATCCACCCTCGCGCCTCAAACACATCCCTATCCGCCTCTACCTCCCCCCTCCGCCGCTTGCTACCGCCGCATACCAAGCCGTTCAACAGCCAATCACTCCAGAAGCCTCGCCCGGCGAGGTCCAGACCCTCGGTTCCGCGCTGGCCCTCATGCTGCCATCTTTGTTTCTAGGATCGATAGAGAGTGCTCAAGCGGAGCCTATCTTGCACGGTGCACCTGTGCCTCTCTATGCACCCCTTGAAGAGCTTATGCGAGAGGCGGCTTACGCAGACGGATGGCTACATATATGTATTCGTCTCTCTAGAAACTGACTCACGATCTTCAGTTCATCAACCCACGTCTACCATACGCTCACTGCCACCGGACAGGTACTCGGAGCTAGGGGGACGGGCCGATGTCACCGATCAGTGCATGATTGTTCACTGAAGTAATATTGAGTCTAGGCTGTAGTACAGACATAGAGGCAGAAAATTTTCGCTCTTGTCATTGCTCTTATAAATACGAGTAGTACAAAATTGCTGGACCCGTAGTATCATTACTCTAAATTCATGGATCGGGTTTGTAGCTCTTAATGTAGTTGCCGGGACGCAATAGTAAGATGATATTGCACACTAGAATATTTTTACTATTGATCCGTATCATAGTCATCTATATTAAGTAATTCCACGATCATGTTCCCACTCTTGCCGACCTTCTCGCCGACAGTTGCTTCGTCTGTTACATTGTAGACGACCCTAGGCAAGCTTTGGACGAGTTGAAATTCAAATTGGTGATCATACTGCTCTGGTTTGGCGACATCTTCGATGTTACCTTCCTGTATGAACTCAAAGCACTCAATAAAAGCATAGAGTTCTTTAATACTATCATCACTTCTAAACCTGCGCGTAATTCGAGCGGCTCCAAGTTTTTCTGGCATTCGAAACCCGATTCGTACAATTCCCTCCTCATCGAGTCCAGGCTCGGGCTTGATGGTCGTCGCCCGCCATTTTCGCCACTGTAGCCTTTTCTCTGCGAGTAGGGCCTTAGCTGCTTCGTGACATTTCCGCTGGCGCTCAGACTCTGCAGCTTCTTCCTCTGCCTGCCTCTTTAGTCTTGCCCTTTCTTTATCACGCGCGAGACTCCTCTCATACGCCGAGTCCTGCTCCTGCCTCAACGTGCGCTCAAACTTCTGGGCTAACCGGCTGGCACGTGTTGCCACCAGTTGTTCTTCATGTTTGAGTATACAAGACCTTAGTTTAGAAAGATAATTGACGGCGCTCGTAGGACCGGAGAGGGCTGTTATGACCGACATGGAGGTGGAGGAAATAACTGGGGTATGTGCCACCACGGCTGTATAGGGGAACTCGGAACACTTAACCGCAGCCGAGACTTGGTATGCTTCCGTATCCCTCACATCGCCTCCCCAAAGGATAATATTGGAACTCTCATCGCTCAAATATGCCTGAACATGTGCGTCTAGCAGGGTATCCCTCACAAACTTTGTGGTTTCATCATGTTCTGGGGAGAATAAGACAATTACGAGAAATTTCAGTTCGGCCTTTGCGAGATCGAGAGCCTGGGCATAGCCGCCTTCGTAGAAAGGGAGCCTGTTGGGGCCATATTCTTCCTCAAATTCCCGCTTTAGCCGAGCAGCCGAGTCACGAGGTTTCAACGGGCGGCGACCTAGACTTTGTTGATACGAAGCGCTATTCCGAAGTCGAATAAATCTGGTCAATGGAACTAGGTAGGCAAGGATGCTGAGCGAAGAAAGAACAGATTTGTATACAAGATTGAAAGGGGTTAGAAAAAGGGCTAAAATGAATGGTGGTTTGCAAATCTCATCGGCATCAAGTTGAGGTACTATCCGCGGTGCAGGATCTGGCCGTGGTTGACGTACTGAAGGGAGTACGGAATTTAAAAGAGCGGTTTCCTGGAGATTTTCGAGTCTCCTAGGCCTAGCGATGGATGGACCCTGAGATGAAATGGCTTCCACGGCTGGATCAAGAGTTTCACCATCGAAAAATTTTGCAATCGCTATCTGTGTATTATTAGCTTTTACATAGCAAATTTAACGTGTTGTATACGAGAACGATACCTCGACGTTCCACTGCGATCTTCGGAGTAAGGGAATTGCCGTTTCGATATCTTGATCAGTGACAGAGGAGTAAGTCTGCAAGGCTAGCTGTTGCTGTTCTGTAAGATTATTGATATCAGAGGCCGTTGTAGCCATGTTGAGTTGACCTCGGCAGTAATATTCCGCGTGGCTTGAAAGGGCTGTGGCATGGAAAATACTGAACCCGCCCTGTCGGAAAGGAATAACCCTTGCGCCGGCACCAATGTTACCGCCCCGCGCTAGCTACCTTTTAGTGCATACGTCAATGTGGATACAATGTGCCGACGGCTAAACATATCCACTTCCTCACGAGCACAGCCTAGGGGCGCTTAGATCGGCTTTCCCTTGCCATAGAAGCTTAGTGTTGAAGATGTTTGATAGACTCAGGCGGGGCCTTCAATCTTAGTCTTGAACTTATCCCGTGTTTAAATACCCACTGGAACATCCCCTTAAACCGATGTCCATTGTTAGAATATTTGTTGCGCTACATGTGTGCCGAAGAAAGTTTGCAGAGACCTAGAGACACCATGGCAGCCACTCGACTTAACCAACCAGACCTGCGCAAGCCAGCTGATTCCCCTAAATCCAAAGGAAGAGGTACCCTAATCTTCTATCTAGAAATCAGACTGCGGAAGATTACTGACGCAATAAATTTCACAGAAAATGCAAAAGAGACTCTCTGCAGAAATGTCCTCATCTACGGACACTGTAGATATGAGGACCAAGGCTGTTCCTTCAATCATGACCTTAAAAAAACACTCTCAATTCCACCAGATTCGTAAGTACTATTCATTTACATCTCGCATACTCGCTCGTCAAAAAACATGGGACCGCGTCCCTATTGAGTCATACAGAGTAAAGACCAGGTGAACACCAAGAGGCACTCAATGTAAGGACCTCTTGGTGAAGCTATCTGGAGATAATGTTATTCGGAATTAAATATTCAAGGCTTTGTGTCCTGTGGATTAAGCGCGGCTTCCAGTGTCTTTATTGAGGACATCTCTTGGAGTAAAGGGTTATTGTCATCCGGGAATTGAAGGAGATATTTATGGACATAACAGCGTCCCTGCCAAAAAATCATCGATAAAATAATTGGAATCAAAATTGAAAGAACGCAACTTCCTAAACCGCCATATCTTCTAATTGGGGCTTTCAAATCCAAAACTTCTGTAAATCAGTCTTACGAGGATATGTTAATGACTATATCGCAAAATATTCCGAACTTCACACTTTTTCGGACGCATTTCAACATCCAGTCCAGTAAAACTCTGGTAAAAATAGGTGCTTTATGAAAACTTCTAGAATTGAAAGAAAGCTATCTCACAAGTATTGTGACGAAAACATAGAAACTTTATAAATGAAAGACATAATTCTTTCAGGTCCAAGACCTTAAATAAATGTAGCACTTCTACAACTATACTCATCTAGTTGCGCTCCAGTTAGATCTGACGACCAGCCCATATTCTCGGAGAGCCATTTAGGAGTATCTTGCCAATAAAATCGAGATAAGGAGAGATAGATCATTTGCAACAAAGAATTGGGGCAACCATTTCATAAAAGCTTCCTAGGAGTCTAAAGTTGCAGGATAAAAATCACAAAATCTTTATCCTTAAACTTCTAGAAACTCATTCAAATTCAAATTCAAGATCAAAACTCCTCTCTTCATTGCCAAAATTTACCAATGACTCGACCTTCATTTAAAAGTAGCAAAAAACTACGTCTATTGCGACATTATTCAAGCTTCACATCAAGTCGAAGTAAGAAAATAGCAAGTGTCAATGAGTAGGAGTCTTCAAATGCTTGTCATTACCACAATAAGGCTTTACTTCTATGCATAATTACTCGCATGGAGAGTACTCTCAGCCTTAGATGTCAATCAGAATTAAAACTGATACCCAGTTCCCTATCTCATGTCACACGTTACACATTATCAAATTTTATGCTTAACAGAATCTTCACTGACATAGGTTGTTACAGGAAAAAATCCCTAAGCTATGATTCTCCTGCTTTCACGCCCGCCGCTCCTATTGCAAAGATCTCCTCCATATCATCTCAAGCAGTAAATGCCGTACCGTTTACACCTCGCTATCATAATGGTTAATACTCTCACCTCGCCTTAATATTATTGCTAAAATTTAAAGGCACTGTGACTTCAAATGTGCAGGAATCTGATTTTGTTGCGTCATTTAACCCTGCGTCTATCAAAGAGTTCAAACCCTCCAACTATGATGCTACTCAATCTGTGAGCTTCTGCGCTAAATAAAATATGTAGAAGTAACTAACGTGATATAGCTTGGCATAAATGAAGCTGTAACTGATCAATCTTTTGATCCGTTCAACCTAAATCCTATTAGCCAGACTCTTCCACCAACCCCCTTCAACCCATATCTGGAAGATAATACCCATGTAGCTAATTCAGGGGGATATTTTCAGGCTCAACCATCTTTCTCGAATCTCGGACAACCCGTATGATGACAATCCCTTAATCCCTCAACGACTAATTGTTTTAGCTTCAATATCATCTATATTCTCCCATCGGTCCACACAGAGAGGACCTTCTTGCTTACCAAAGACTTGCACATGACTTCTTCATTGCTAACGACACGCGTGAGAACTTGCAAAAAAAGTCAGAGGCTACTCGTCAGATCATACCTAGTAGGCTGAATCGTCCGTTACTCCTCAAAAAAGCTAACTTTTAGATTCGCAACTTCCAACCGTCGATCATTATCACACTCTGGTCCCGTTGGATACCAATCATCATGAAAGTGCGGCTGTTTTTGGCTACCCAAGCTGGGTCTACAAAGCAGTCTCTTCAAGAAACGGCTACACATATGTTCTGCGAAGATTAAAAGGCACTGACCACCACGCTTCACCCTGTTCAATGCTGACCTAATCAGGTTACCGTCTAAGTAATGAAAAGGCTATCCGATCTGTGAAAGACTGGAAGCGCGTCGATAACGGTGGAGTCGTATCTGTTGTGGACGCTTTCACTACTCGAGCTTTTGGCGATAGCTCTCTAATATTTGTATACAACTACCATCCACTCTCCAAGACTCTTATTGAGCATCATCTCAGCAATACAAATCGATACGCTAACCGTTTGGGAACCACTCCAATACCCGAACAGATAATTTGGAGTTACATTGTACAGATTGCATCTGCAATAAAATCTGTACACGATGCCAAGCTCGCAGTCCGCTGCTTCGATGCCAGTAAGATTATATTGACGGAGAAGAACAGGATTCGTCTAAATGCGTGTTCAATCTACGATGTACTCCAGTTTGAGCAGAATCGACCCTTATCCGACCTACAGCAAGAGGACTTTGTTCTGTTTGGCAAATTTATATTGGCTCTGACTTGCAACAGCTTTAACATCATTCATCAATCTAAAATAAGTACGGACCATTTGTCACGTGTATATAGTGCCGAATTTCGAGATACGGTTATGTGGCTCCTTACGCCAGCGGTAGCACCCGCAACTAAAGATATTTGCGATTTTATTCGAGGGATATCCACTCATGTGGTTACCTCCTATGATTCATCGCTTCACGCAAATGATTCTTTGACTTCGACACTCTGCGGTGAGCTTGAAAACGGAAGACTCTTTCGCCTTATGGCCAAACTTGGTGTCATAAATGAGCGACCAGAGTACGAAGGAGATGTCAAATGGTCAGAAATTGGCGAGCGTTACATCCTAAAGTTATTTAGAGATTACGTATTTCATCAAGTCGACGCTCAGGGTAAGCCAGCGTTAGACCTTGGTCACATCCTCGAAAGTCTTAATAAGCTGGACGCGGGCTCGGCTCAGCAAATTAAACTCGTGAGTCGGGACGATCAGGATTGCATGTTTGTATCATATAAGGAGCTAAAGAAACAAGTTGATTCCGCATTCAAGGAGCTAAGCGGGCAAAGTGGAAAGAGCTATCAACTTCAATGCGTCTGATAAGTATCGGAAGTTGAGTTGAATCAAGCTAGAGGTTTTATCTGTAATGTGAAAACTGTTCACACAAACATGTGCGATATTTCAGACAAAAGGCTATATGTGCTTCAATTTGGAATAAAATTAATAACAGCGCAACACTAACATGCGCCAAAATTTTCTCACTTTGGATGAGCTGTTGTATGAGAAGGATATGTCACGGAAGCGACCGCTTTTCAGATTGGTCATTTGTATGAAAATTGATTGTGTCGGGACATCTCGCGTATTAATCAAAGGAAGTTGGTGGTAGTCATGAGTACTTTTAAACATCGTCAATCTGTTTATACCCTTTCTGGTTGTCACCTTTTTGGGGGGGATAAATGGTGTTCAGGACCTGCTACAATTTTTTTGTTTATTATCAAATTAGTGTCGGTACACTTCAGATAATTGGAATTTCCAGCTCAAGTTTTAAATTACTACTCAAGCTGTGATCTGAGGCTCTACGTCCATTATAACTGAAGATGTGTGATCAGTTAACTTTACGCAGCCTTGATGACGCCCCTCGAGATCGCAGGTCAGGACTCATAGCTCTTAGCTCCTTGTTATTGGGATTCTCCTTTCTCAGCTTACGGATATTACAAATAGATAACCCAAATATTGGCGCCTTCTCTCTAGATCAGTCTTCAGGCTGCACAAATGGGTTCGGAATCTCTTCACTCCCATCCATGGGGCTTATTAGAACAAGAAGAGTCCCTCGCGCAACGATGAGACCGAGCGGTCGGGTGGTAATTTTGTTTTCTTCGTCTATTTTCTAATTAGTTTAAGGCTCGTTGGCATGTATATATGAAAAGCTAAGCGTACCGTGCATCATTTCTTCTACGTCATCGAGCACGAGATTCATGAGAGCATCATAACCTTTCAGTGTGCCTGTAACTGCCTGTGTGTTAGTTGGTCTATCCCCAGAGTGAGGCCAGGCTTTCTAGGCGGCGGTAGGCGTGTATGGTATATACCTTCACGGCCACCTGTGAACTTCACGGCAATCTTCTGGTCCAGGTACTTGCTGAGGTCGAGGATATTCTCCTTTTTTGCTCGTTCAGCGCCCTGCCCACCATGTGCTCCCTGAATACAGGCGACGTTAGCTCGGTGCATTCGGCCGCAAGAGACCATCTACGCACTCGGCCGCCTTCATGGCTGCCACGGCCCGCCCCTCCACGGCCACCGCGGCGGCTTCCCCGATGATTTCCTCGTTCTGACATGTTTCAGCGACGTCAGATGACGGCGTAGGTGAGTGTAATATCAGCTGCTGGTAAGTTTGGCGCGACAAGTCGTCGACTGGCGTCGTGCGACGTCGTTCATGCACTGTATTTGCGTCAATCACGGCACGTGCTCAAGTGCGCGTTTACTCGACTCCTCGCCGACACGGGCATTAGATTTATTACCAGGGCTGACAACATAAACGCCTTCGATGCTTCTATCTCGGGATAATCAAGCACAGGCGTATTTTCTTTTTTAGGACCATTATTCATCCACGCGAGTACCAGTCGGATTCGTTTCATCACCCTATCCTCAGCACCTCTAGCACGAAGAACTCTCGCGACTGTGTCAGAGTGGAAGAGCGAAGGACTCAACTGATCAAAATAACTAAGTGGTGGCAAAATTGCTTACAATAAGCCATGAGTATAAGTGGTGAAGTGCTGGTTGGGCCTTCTAGAGGCGGCAGATTAAACTCCTACAAGTCTTATTTCAGATATGACTACGACTGCTCTTCGACAATGAGTATGAGAGGAACGACCGAGATTTCCATAATGAGTGTTTCCGCACGGCCTGTGATCTCAGGGTCAAGGCGAATACGTTCCTACCTATCCAACCCGATGTAACCAGTTGGTTCAAACGCAGGTGTTGAGAAAATTCGATCACTGCTATAGCTTAGAGGATCTTGTTTTTAGATACTCGTGAATCCAATATCCCTATGGAATGGTGACCTGGCTTACATTAGACGATGAATATGACATACTTATTTGACTCCTCGGGTCGAGGTAAAGCAGAACATTCAAAAAAAGCAAGGGAGAACCTCGTCCAGAAAAGAGAAGACTGAGCTCCCGTGAGTGTTGTACTCTGAGCACCGGAAAGAAAGATTTCCACGAAGTCGAGATTCAGTCACGAAAAATAGTGGGGTGATTCAGATTTGATTGACTGTCAGCTTGAGGGAGTTATATTCGGTATTATGCTCGAAAAATCAATTGACAGAGGTTTCACAAGCGCAAGAAAGTCGAACAAAAACTCATCAACGCGATAATTTGATTCACGGATGGGTCTGACTCTGATTGATGATCATATTCAAACAACCGATATACCTCAAACTCCTAATACATTTGTGCCGAAGTATTTCTTGGTCGATCCTAAACCTATGACCCACCTACCAACACACATCCTAAAGAGTAAAGTCATGGAAATGGGATTTCCACCGAGGGGATCACGCTTTTGTCCCCAATAACAACAACCCAACAGTACGATGAGGAGGTGCAAGGTTAAGACAACGCCAGGATCTGGGACAACATAGATATCTCGGAGTCAATGTGTTGGAAATATCGCGCAATGAAATGGGCGCAATATTCATGGAACGAAAGTAGAAGTTGACTAAAAGAGTGACATGTTCGGATTAAAGCTAAAAGTTTGAGAGATGTGCGCTACAAGTACAAGTGTAAGCGACACAGAGCCTAAGCCACAGCATAAACGAGTGTGGCGCCATCTAGCCATAGAAAACCCTCCAATAACCTCCTTGCGCCCACGCCATACAGCCGCTCATGTCTCCAGTAGGTAGCCTGACGCGCTACCATATTACCTATTCCAACCTCTTACATACACACAAGATCGTGTCGGGAACCTAGACGAAATGGAGGGCCCATACGTCCACAACACTCCGTGTCTCCATTTCCAACATAATGAGAATGTCAAGGGCTCGGGCACGAGGTGGACAAGCCTGGGGAGGAATTTGAGCTAAAGCATGTAAACAGCGAGTTCCAGGACTGTAGGGCCTCGTATGACTCAACTCATAGGTGAAGGCTGAAGTCTTTCGGTCATTTAGGTGGGATAAAGTCTGTATACGAAATGGTAGTTAACCTGATCCAGCTCGACCTCACTCATGCTCAAGCACCCATAGAAGCGCCGAGAATGGCAAATTGCCGAGCACGACAATAAATAGAATAACACATACAACAATCCAAATTGATACAGGCATCAGACGACCAACCACCATTCACATTTACCAGCAATAATTTAATACTCTGCATTGAATTTTCTGCCGACTCTGTATATTAGTCTGTGATCACAGATACGGAAATAGGTTATGAGATTGCTCAATGAGAGGCTAGGATTGATTCCTATATTATTTGGTGGGAAACTTGTCTCAATCATCAATGGGCTACAACGTCTTTATATATCCACAGGTTAATCCTCTATTTTCAATGCACGCTAGCCATACAGCAACTAGTATATAAAACTCGATTTGTATCATCGTTTTGGGGTTGAGGTTTACCGTGCATTTTGACACTTGAGCTACAAGCCTGGCTACTATGAGAAACGCTCAAGTATAAATCTAATAACCCAAACCAAACCGAAACTACTCACAGCCCTAATTAACACCCCATGAGTAGTTGGAATAGTAGCCTGCAACATAGCACAAATAGGCTAGACATTGTTGATCAGGACCTGATACGAAAATTTTGTTTTAAATAAGTCCGAAATTACACCATTGGTTGCGGAAATATAGCTCCAGGAGTAGATAGAAAATCTATGGACCTGTCAGCGGCATGTTGGAACACTATCCAACCATGTCTCTATAAACTGTTCCGAGCTTGAAATCTACTCAGTATCTACCTAGCCTGCTTAAATTTGGCCGAAGTCGTCACCAGAAGAACAGTTATCATCCGACGACAGATAAGGGATGGAGAGCAATTACCATCCTTTGATGCTTAGGCAAAGGGTTAGATAGGCTTCTGAAAATTCGAATGGCGTGCCTTGTATATGTACACGACGTAGTCGTATACCAAGGGCTTGGTGCGCAATCAATCTGTTCAGCAATGGATCTCGTCTTCTGTGTAGCCCGTCACCTCGAGGAGGCAAGCTTATAGGAATGGGCAGTAAACTTTATAACGCTAGACATCAATGATGTCTTCAATGCAGTAATTCAGAACCGATTATTGAGGATGCAAGACCAAGGATGGCCAAATTCGATCCTCAAGTGGACAACCTCATCTCTCGCGAATTAAATGGTCCAAGTGCGATACTGCGGAAGACTCACCACAAAAAGAGAGCTAGATCTTTAAGTTCCGCGGGACTCACTGGTCTCACCACTTCTCTTCCTTCTGTAGGGGGATTATTCTCAACACCTGTCAGTGGTGTCCCCTACGAATTCTAACTCTCACTATAAAGTCTACAGACCAGAGCTTAACACTCTTGTTCTAATTTCTATTGCGGGAAGATACGGTCAGAAATCTGTACTGCTAGTAAAATTCCTGCAGCTTTTTTGGTATGCTTACAAATCTGACTAGCAACAAAGTTCTACAATTACGATACATTCTATAGACCCTAGTCTAGACCTGCTTATAAATCAAGTCACATGTATTCTAAGGCTTGCTGACTGACAATTCAACAACTTCGATAAGGATTCCGGAAGGGTCTCAAGGTCTTTATCTTCATCATCTTTCAGCTCAACTTCCTAGCACCATTATCACGAAACTAACTACGATCAAATAAGATCGTAGAGTCGAAGCCATTCTCTTCACTGATACTTAATCATGGAGTAGAAGCCACCCGATGGGTTTCCGGAGCGTACCCAGCATCCGATATGGGGATTGTTGTTACGGGCTGTGCCCAGTTCGGTTAGGCTGGGCTATCTCTCAGGTCCAGCCTTGTTCAAGGACACTAACCAAGTGATATATAAGAGAGTTTCTCGAGACTCGAATCACTCGGTTAATTATGCTGAGGCTGGATAACAGATCACTCAGTATCAAAAGAATACGTGTCGGGATACTGGATCACTGGTGGCTGTAGCTGGCATATTTAGTTCAAAGGATTTCCTGTAGTAAATCTCTATAGAAAAATATTAACTCTTTGTGGTACTGTTTACGTGCGGTGTCCGTAATTCTCCTCGCCCTTAACAATTGTGGATTGGATCAAGATGTCCTCTAATGTTACAAAGAAGGGAGATATAGATGAATATGCGCACCACGTGTGGTCCCGGTTTCTAGATCTTGCCTGGCTGGGGCTGCAGGTCTTTGGAGGCTTTTTCCCGCGCACCCAGTTTCCATTGCTGCCTTTTTTTTTGGGGTAGAAGGTTCCGTGGAAAAGGTGACCGAATTCCACAGGTAAACACTGAGCTGAATGGCTATTCATCAAGGGCAGTATATTAATGATCTTTCAAGTAACATGAGAGGATAGGAGCACTGTAAAAGGTGTGATCTGGGCCAGAGATGAGCTCAATGTGATAGATAGTCAATGACATAAGTAGTCCAATAAACAAACACACTCACTCAGTCACTCTTCCTTTTAAACATGTCAGAACCTACGCGAAGCGGCACCTACGTTCGAGGTGCAGCCACTTTATTGATACAGGCATTTTCGGGTTTTGCCGTAATACTGCTAAATCTACTAGTGCATCTCAAGAGATAGAAAACTAACTATTGGACTGGGCTCGAAATTATGCGGTTGTTTTGACACAGAAAAGTCGGAAATAGTGCAATTCCTCTGACAGCGCCGCGAGACAGTTACTAGTGTTTAAGTGAATGGGACTCTCGCAGTATCAAAGGGTAAAAATAACCACAGCAGAAGTTAGACTGGAAAATATCTCTGAAAAGTATCTCGGGGCAAAAATAAGGACTATCCACAAGTACGTGAGTTGTTTGCTTTATTCGGTGCTTATAATTTTTAGTTAGAACCGCAAGTAATCTATTCCAAATGTATGTCTACATTAAGATTTCAAGAGATTATGTCAATCATGATCAGTGTTTATAGTCCTAGAATTCTGGGAGAAATAGCGATCAGGTTGTTTCTACTGAATTACCATCCTCTTCAATTCCAATTACATTCCGCCTGCCACAGGTCAGGCTCCCAGTTACCTAACATATAGACCTGTCGCAACATTTATACTGGTTAGGCTTGTATCTGAACCCCCAGCCGAAATCTAAGCATCACATTACAATCTGGTTCGGTAAAGTACTGTAAATTGCGCAGCATATGCTCTACTTCAACTCCGTCT